CACTTAGGCATATTTTTCAGAAGATGAGATACAGTAACTACTTCTATCTCATTTGCCTGAACTTACAAATATCAAAAACTTGTTCCCTTCCTTACACTTTTAAGAGACAATGGACAGGTTTGTTTCCCTCCATTCTTAGAAGTCAGTCTGAGTGATGAACTAAGGCAAGAAGAGCCAAGGATATCTCAGGATCTGGAAGAGCAGAGAGGAAGACATGGAGGGAGGATCAGAGTGAAGAGGATCCCACCAATACTAAGAGGACACAGAGTGAAGAGGGTGTGAAAGAAGAGAGGAGTGGAGGGATGAGTTCAGGTGATGCTGCAGGGAAGGGGATCAAGGGAGAAATATGGTCTCAGTCTGAACACAGAGACACATCAAGGGAATCTTCTGTAGGTTCTCCATGAGCCCAATAATGCTATCAAGTGCTTTATAGTTGTCATATGGAGAATAGACTACAGGGTATAAAAGTAAAAAGTGTGTTGTGACAATTTGCAAGTTTCTGACATGTCAGACCAGAAACTGGAAGTCATTTTTATTAAATAAGCAAAAATAATTCTTTTTTCCTCTTTGTGTTATGTGATAGAATGGTTTCCTTGCTCTGACATGAAGATCACTACTCTTTGATTCTCCAGAGATAATCTTTTCTTAATCCCTTTTAGCATACCTCTCATCTGTGTTACTGCCCCTTTGTGGCTTGCTCTATTTTCTGTTTCCTTGATAGAACTTTGTCTCTCTCCACACATTGACAGATACTTTGACATTATTTCTATCATCATTTTTAAAGGTCGGTGTAGAATCTTTGCAATACAGTCTTTATTTTGATATTGGCTGTCCAATTTGGTCAGTAGAATATCTTTTCATTGTCCTAATATCAGTTGAGAGTTTCTGGTTCTTAATGTGCCTAGTGGTCTTGTATTTTATACAGGATATGTCTAATTATATATTATGATATAATATCTCTATTCAAAATACAGAAAAAATAAATAAAATGTCATCTATAATTAATGTAAAAAATAAAATAAATAAAATCCTATGTTGATATTTTTGTTTCAGTAGACTATATATTCATTTAGACTAAACCAACAATCTCTGGGTTGTGGTTTTGATATTGTACCAATTTAGAAACCCTTAGCCATGGCATTTGGATCTTTCTTTATTGTGGGATTTACAGGGGTCAGCTGAGTATCAGTGAGCACTATTCTAGTCCTAATTCTTTCGTATTCTCTCTGGGATCAGAACGATGCAAGGGTAGCTCAGAATTGAGCCTGATTTGCATCATGATTTTTCCAAGCTCATTCCTTTCCACACCTTCCAACTATGTGTGTGTCCTTGGGCCTTCCCCTTGTCTTCTGCCCATTTCCTATGATGATGTCACCAAATAGTAAGAGGACACAGAGTAATAGAAGTACTAGAATTGAGTGATACTCTCTGGGAGGGAAAGGAAGGGGGAGGAGATTAGCAAGAATGGTAGAATGTGATGGTCATCATTATTCAAAATACATGTATGAAGATTTGAATTAGGTGTCAACACAACTTATATACAAACACTGATATGAAAAATTTTGGTTTATATGAGTATTAAGAATTGTAATGCAAAAAAATGAGTACAGGTATAATGGCATAATTTGGCATGAACATACTTTATATACAGAGTTATGAAAAATGTGCTGTATATGTGTAATAATGAGTGTAATGTCTTCCACTATTGTCTTGTATTTTTTTTTTTTAAAGTGACACTCTCTTGGGAAATCATCTCCTCAAATGAGAAAGGAAAGCTTCCACAGTCTCTGCTGCCACCACTGTGAACACAGACAATTTCCCAAGTCAAGATCAAGTAGAATGGAGAAAGAAAAACCCTAAGAAAAAGAAAGTGTGGACATTCCAAGTTTGTCAGAGCATGAGGAATTCCTTTTCTTCTGCAGGAGACAGAAGAGTGGGGTGATGCTGTGTCCTGCACAGCAAGGGATCAGTAAACCAAACAAATGTGTGAACTTGCTGGGAAATCAAAAGTCTGAAATAATATTTAGAGATAAAGATATGCAAAATAGTTTCACAGCAGGGGTCTGGTGGGTTGATCAGTACTGAGGAGTCCTTCCCTAAAAAAAGAGAAAAAGCCTGCTAGAGTGTAATTTATAGCAAAAAAAAAAAAAAAATCAAAGGGGGATTTATTGTGAGGAAAACTTTTGCAAGATAAACAAGAAAGGAGAGGCTTTAGGGAAAGTGGCCTGATTGGAGATTTATCTCTTGAGCAGTAATTCTTCCTCCTTCAGGCAGCTGGTGCCTCAAGGCTCTTTGGGCTCCCTGGTGTTTTTTTTCCAGCCTCCAGAAAGTTGAATTTGAACATAGGGCTGTCTGAACCAATAAATTCCATGTTATCATAGAATTTCTTTGAGCAGGAAGTCGCCAAGGTAATGGAGAGGCCTCAGATTTATGGGATGACACCAAGAGTTCTCTGAGGTGCACACCTTCACTTAAAAATGGCTCAGACAAAGGGACAATTTATTTGCAGCTCCCAACAGTGGGGCATGTCCTAGAATTCAGCAAGGTCCCAGGCTGCCTGAGAGCAGACCAAGTATGAAGGGTAGAAGTGGAAAACACTCCACTGTGGTATTCTTAATGTGCTACTGACTCCTCCAGTCTGGCTTCTGTGATTTGCTTTCCTAGGTGGTCACAAAGATCTCCATGTATGCTGTCTGAGGTTTAATTGCTGAATTCGGTCTGAAAAGAGAGTGTGTGCCTACTCTATCCTAAATGGAATCTGAAAACAATAATGATATTTTTACTTAGGAAATTAAATCAATCTGAACCACAGGCCACACAAAATGCAGAATGACAGAAAGTACTTTAATGAATGAGGACTCTTTGTCACACTTGTGTAGTTTTTATTTTATATCTTTGAGATAAGTCTGCTTGGTCATGTCACATTCATGAGGTAGGATGGAAATTAACCATGAAAATAATCTAAATAATTGCTTCTCTTGGACTGGACACATAAGTTAAACATAAAATTTAATGTAATCTTCAGGTAAGAATGAAGTCTATAGTAAAATTAAAAGATGTTTATACTAGGTGAAATAGGCTAGGCACAGAAAGATAAAAACTCCATGATTTCAATTATATGTGTAATCTAAAAGAGAAGGACAAGAACTCACAGAGGTGGACAGCTAAATGGTTCCTCAATAGGGGTGAGGTGGGGAAGGGAGCAGGTTAAAGTATGATTTAATAAAAGGTGACAAATTTTCATACAGAAGAAATAATTTCTAGTGGTCTACTGCATAGTGTGGTGACTATAGTTAATACTAAAAGATTATGTATTTCAAAATTGATTAAAATATAACTTAAATATTCTCCTCAAATAAAAGTGATTTTGAAATTTCTAAAGAAAGAATTACATAAAATGAAAAGAGGATAAGTGATTTCTTTCACAGGTGTGCAGAGTGGATGAGTATGTTGAGGGAGAAAGCAATTGGAAGGACAACTAATGGTCATGAATTTTCCTTCTTTGGTGATGAAAATGCTCTAAAATTAATTGTGGAAATTGTTGTACAATTCTGAACACAATAAGAGGCACTGGAGTGACTACATGAAATAATTGAATTGTTGATATATGAGCTACAACTCAATGAAGCTGCTTCAAAAAACAAAGTGAGTTGATTCATTAGCCTGAATTAATCATTCAACAATTTATGCATTAGTAACAATAACACACTGTACCAGATAGTATAAACTAAAATATAAAATATAAATTAAAATATAAAACATTTGGCTAGGCAAAATGGTRTATGCCTATAATCCAAGCAGCTTGAGAGACTGAGGCAGGTGGGTCATGAGTTCAATGCCAGCGTCAGCAACCTACCGAGGCTATCAGCAACGAAGTTAGCCCTGTCTATAATACAATATAACAGCAACACCAATTTCAATTCCCACAATAAATAAAATAAAATAAGATAAAATAAAATAACTTAAAATAAATAGCTCTTGTTTAAATAAAAATGACCCATTTTCCGACATTTTTCCTTCCAATTTTGCCCTCATCTCCCTGTAGATCCCCTACACAAGAAGAAGGATACATGGTACTCACTTCTGAGACTGAGATTAAGTCACTTAGCAAGAACTAGTCATTACTTGGAAATGGTCAAACAGGAATGAAAATGCAGAATCAGGTCAGGAATATGGCCCTTGGTGGGGCACCCAGTTTCCTTCATGAGACTCCTTTCCAGTGACCACTGGATGATCCACAAGGCATGTGGTGAGTGATCAGGGAGTGACTCAAATACTGATAGAATTTGATGCTGCATGTGCTTCCACACATAGCCCAGGGGATAGGCAGAAACACGGCTGCCTCTGGGGAGATCCCCCCAACAACAACCATAGCAGGTGTTTCCTGGGTGGACAGACTTGTTTCCTCACAGTAGAGAGATCTTGGAGAATGATCACCAGAAGAGGGCACTGTGGGGTGTGACCCAGGCCTGGAGGGTGACAGACACAGTGAGATCTCAGCAGAGACACTGAAGAGCTAGGTGCTCACAGAGATGATGGACTTCAGCAGATCTTTCTTTCCCGTTCAAGCAAGAATAGACAATGTATGTTTCTGATCCTTAGGAAATCTAAGACAGGGAGATTATATCTGCTCATCTGAACTCTTCAGGATAGAGATGTAAAAGTGTAGAGTTCAGGAAAGGCCAGAGTGGGCTGAGGAGAGGCAGATGCAGGAAGCAGATTTGCATTGAGGACCTCCTTCATTTCTCTGAGGCAATGAAGCAGATAAATAAGTCTGGAGATGCCAGGTCCAGTGCTGGAGTCTCAGGAGGGAGTGCTCTGGGGTACCACTACCATGGCTTGGACTCTGCTTGTCCTCACACTCCTCAATCAGGGTACTTATGTGACATTTGCAGAAAAGGGGGTCTTGGGGAAATCTGGGCTAAGGTTTTGTCTCCTCCTGCTCAAGTTTACCTTGTCCAGGGTCTGATTCAACATCACGAGCTTTCTCCTCTTTTCAGRTTTCTGGGCCCAGTCTGCTCTGACTCAGCCTCCCTCTGTCTCTGGAACTCCTGGACAGTCAGTCACCATCTCCTGTGCTGGAACCAGCAGTGACATTGGGAAATATAATGAAGTCTCCTGGTACCAAAATCGTCCAGGAACAACCCATAAACTCATGATTTATGGTGTTAGTAGTAGGCCCTCAGGGATCCCTGATCGCTTCTCTGGCTCCAAGTCTGGCAACACAGCCTCTCTGACCATCTCTGGGCTGCAGCTGGAGGATGAGGCTGATTACTACTGCTGTTCATATGCAGGCAATTACAATTACCACAGTGGGCCAAGTTGAAGGAGAAGTGAGACCAAAACCTCTCCTAAGGACAAAAGCTCCTTCTTGCTCTGATAAAGCTTTCTAAACTCTAAATAGTTAGCTTCCTGAAACATGGACTAGAAATTCCTTTCCCTTTCAGCTGTTCTCCAGTCCCACGGTGAAATAATGAACAAAATATATCCCATTTTATGTTCCTGRTACAGTGACAGCATACTCTGCTCAGTGTGAAGTGGTCTCAGGAGATGTGTATCTGTTCAACTCTTCATTTTGTTTAAGAGAGGGTCAAGTCCATATCTATAGGTACAATTCCTCCAGTTATCAGGGAAATCCTCATTGTAAATGCCTCCATATCCCTCCATGGTGCAGGCCTGCCTTGGTGTAGTTTGTCTTCAATGACATTGTTTTATTCATTTCATATTCACCATGCTTCAGTCAGGGTGACCCTGGATGGGTGATTTCTTTTTTGCCTTTTCTTGAAGGAAGTTCACTGAGACTAGTTGGAGAGACATGTAAAAGACATGGAAAAATAGTTTCACAGTTGGGGTCTGGTGGGTAGATCAGTCCTGAGGAGTCCATCCCTAACAATGTTAATAATGTTACCAAGTGAGTGAGACAGAGTAAATGCAAGTTTTCATCAGTGTCACTCATTTCTAAACCCAAATGAAAGAAACTGAGCAGGAGAGATTGAGAGTGGWATCTCCTTCTTTTATAGAGTCACAAGTCAATAGACCCCTGTATCCGAATTTTCTCTGGCATAGTATGAACTCCTAACTAAAGGGATCCATTTTTCAATAATGCAAAGGTATTTGGTGGGTGAGAACGCCATTCCTCAGGGTTTTCAATATACATTATATACCAACCCAATGACTAAGTAGAACCCCAATKAKAATGAAATGCTAATTATATATACAGACATTTGGTCTACAATGATAGTTCCATCATGAAAAACCACATAAATCAAAAATATAAGTAAATGATGCTTTTAGTACCCCTAGCCTGATGAACTTCATTGCTTACCAATACCATATACTGAAGAGTACATTATTTGCCCTTGTAATTGCAAAGCTTAGTGGAGCTTCTCAGTATTGCAATCAAGTTACAACACACATGTAGCTACACTGAGAAAGATCAAAATTGAAAATTGGAAGTATGAATTTTATTGGTTGTAATATGCCGTGACCAGTCTAGCCAATCTAACAGGTTCTGGTGAGGTATGATAGGGGCTAGAAATAAAAGACTCACAGATGCACATTTTGAAGATAAAATATCTGGGACCAGGTGGAGTGCAATTCTCTGAGGGAGAAGGAGATCTAAAGAGTTACACTAGCCATCTTTATATATATATATATATATATATATATATATATATATATATATATATATATATATATAATGTATATATGTGTGTGGGTGTATATATATATATATATATATATATATATATATCCCATTATTAGGTTAAAGACTATGCAAAGTATTTTTCTTTGTACTCAATAAACTACAAGGCTAGAAACATTTATGTAGCTTTACTGCAATTGTAGTTTACAATTGCAATGTGAAATGTTAGGAGATTTGTGTCGCTCTCAAGGAAGTCCATTGTTTAAAGTTACTGTTAAATGGACAGCTTTGGAATTAATGGAGCTGGTGAAACATTGTGGTTGTCTAGCAGGAGAGTTCCTCTATTTTCCCAGGAACTATGTGCACTGAGATCAAGGTTGAGGCTGATAAGATTCTTCTGCAAAACCTTATCATGAAGGACATTGCCACAGCAGCTAGGCATCCTGCAAACTTTTATAGAAACATCCACAGTCACTAGGTTTTCCAAAGCCATGAGGTCATCAGAGATCCCGGTCTCATACCCTGCTCTCCCAATCTCTGTCACCACTGTCCACAGTAAGATATATGTACATGTAATATACATGTACAATATATATGAATATAAATATATATGCGTGTGTACATATATATGTATATATGTATTTCATTATATTTTCAGGAATTCTTTAATCAGCTGGTGTAGGCCCCAGACAAGATAGAACAGTCATCAACATTCACCAGTTTGCCAAAAAATTTCCAGTGTTATCAATGAAATTTCCGAGTCCTGACATCTTTACGCTCACTCGAACATGACATTTCTATACCTACCATTGTGCTTTGCAGGCTTTGGATGTTTGATTCAGCATGCATCAACATCTTCCTATGCTTTTTCCAATAATTAAGTTACATATGCATATATTTTTTGAATAATATGAGAAAAATGCTTTCCTACTATGGATAAGCAAATTTGAACATTTGAAGTTTTCATATTTCAAAATGCCTACCAAAGTTTCACTCTTTAGTGCCATAGGGAACCCCACATTCAGTCCAATTCTCACTTTCCTCAGGGAATTCCATGGCTAAGAGCCAAGGTTGCATTCTTGCCTCATTATTGGAACCTCCAGGAATTTTACCTTCAGATGCATTTTTTCTTCTTTTCCACATTCTGTGTGGGTGTGTCTGGACATGCTGGAAGTGCAAGGAGGAAGGACCAAGCTTCCACTTCCATTTTATCATAGCAAAATGAGGTGACAGTGCAGAGCCTCGAGCCAGATTTCATCCTTTCATTTTCTTTGTTCCTGGATTTAGGGATATTTTGTTAGACCTAATACCAAAAGAGTTCAGACAAACACTTTACTCTTGCTTTATATTTTTCTTATAAAATTCATGTCTACTCTGAATTATATTAGGAGTTCATATTCTTTGAAGTTAAACAAAGGGAAATAATCCAGGTTCATTTCACTTATTTTTACAATCTATTATTGTATAATCCTAAAGATTATTTCAAGATACAAATATATTTTTGCAGCATGAGGGATTGATAAAATAAATATTTATAATGCAATGAACACCAATAATGGTGACTATGTTCACCCATCCCGTTTTTTCTCATTCCATGCAAGAAAGCTTTTCTCCCTTAGTCATCTGATATTGATGTGTTCTTTTTTCTGGGAATTCACATCCAACAGGACTTTTGTTACCAGTAAATTTTGTCATATTCTCTGCTCCTTAGCTCAAGATCTCCAGCAGTGAATTGAAAATATTTTGTTTGTGGTGGGGCAATGAACCCACAGAATGAACCCAGGGGAACTTAACAACTGAGTCATATTCTCAGTCATTTTTTTTAAATTTTGAGACAGGATCTTACTCAGTTGTTGAATCTTGCTTTAATATGGTGATCCTTATGCCTCAATCTCCTGAGTCATTGGAATTCCAGGCCTGCTCCAGCTCACCCAGTTTGATAACACTTCTTTTGAGGGAAAGTAGATTGATAATAGTTCTGAATGTTGGGGTATTTATTTAGATTTTTCACTGCTGAAATTAAAAGACCCAACCAGAAAAACTGCAGAGGAGGAAGGTGTTATTTATGGGATCATGGTTTTAGAGGTCTCAACCATAGATAGCAGGCTCCATTTCACAGGGTTTGAGTTGGTGCAAGGCATCATGATGGAAGACTGTGGCAGAGGGAAACAGCTCTAATGAAGATCAGGAAGCCCAGAGAGACCTCTACTTGCCAGATACAAATATATATCCCAAAGCCATGCCTCCAATGCCCCTCCTCTAGCCTCCAGTGCCTGCTTCCAGTTATCACTGGAACTACTACTCAGTTAATCCCATCGGGGATAAATTCATTGATTGGGTTAAGGCTATAACTGTGCACCACAGCTCATCAGTGTGCTTATGCCACCACTAATATCCTTGTCCTCCTCCTCCATCTCTACTTTCCTTCTCCTGCTCCTCCTCCTTTTCTTCCTCCTCCTCTTCACCATCTTCATCTCATAAAAATCTTCTCATAATGGTCACATACCACTTTTTGCAACAAAAAATTGGCATAAAATTTGTGATGATTATGCAATGAAATTCTAGTTTGTGGTTGAGAACTTCTGCAAATTCTCCTAGTCTCTCCTGGGGAAGTTCAGGCCCACYTCACAAAATATTTGTGATTTTTTTCAGATTTCCTCATAGGAAGGAGAGGGCTCCAATGACTGTGCCACTTAGCAAGACCTGGGATGTCTCCCTTGAATTAATATATTTTTGTTCTTTGTGTCACTATGTGTAGTTTTTTTTTCCCTAAATATTGGTATATGCTTCCCCACTTCACAATAGGTAAAGTCCAGGAGAAGTGAAAACAGTGGTGTCAAGTTGATCTAGGTCTTAGAATTCAGGTTGTAGCTTTATCAGACAGAACATGACCACAGCAGGGAGAGGAAGAGCTGGGCTGGAAATTAGGTCCCATGTGCTCTTTGGTTCACTGCTATTTCCATTATGGCTTGACTGTCACCAGGAGCCCAGCTTAGTTAGCAGGGACTCTTTGGTAAGTGGGCCCACTAGGGCCTCCTGTTACAGATATTGTGATGTTGCCTGCAAATGTACCTTTTGTGTTCTGATCAGAAGGAGCCATGTTGTACTGATGGCAAAGGGAAGTACAAGAGCCACCAACGATGAGGACATAGGTGCCCCCTGTTGTTGCCCAGCATGTGTGATGGAGAAGTGAGTCAAGGTGCTTGGCATGAGGATGGCACTGGAAGTGTGTCCCAATGCAGAAATTGTGCTCATATTTGTAACCACAGGGCTGTGGTGTGCTCATGTGAGTCCCAGGTACTGTGGTGGAATATAGATCCAGACATGTCTCCTCATACATATTTCCTGGCCATGATTTTTCTGTTCAGGTGTGAGCAACATGCACTGATGGAGAGCAAAAAGAGATCAACTAGGTCTTCCTCTTGTCTCTGACATGCTTCTGCCAGTAAGATTCCCCATTAAGTTGTACTCTGTGCAAATCTAGAACTGTCTGTGCCACAACCTGCACAACATCATGAAATGAATCATGAGTAGAGTCAACTGGAGATGAAGAAAAACATACACAGAAAACACAGAGACATTTTAATGGAAATCTAGGGCCAGGTTGGCCACTGTCCTCAGAACCAACTCTGCAAATTTTTTATATAAGCTCTTATAATCAGGAAGCTGAACTATTGGGG